TGTTGGTGATGATGGTGATGGTGATGATGGTGATGGTGATGATGGTGGTGATGGTCATACTGGTGATGAAGATGGTGTTGATAAAGATGGTGGTGGTGGTGGTGGTAGCAGAACATTTTAAGACATTTCTTCCACTTTGCAATCCTTTTGTAAGCTCTCAGAGGTTATTCTAATTGTTAAGTGACTGGATCTCCCAAGAATAAAGTTACGAATAACTCATTTTTCATGTGATGTCCTCCTACCTGCCCTCTACAAGCTACTGTCTTCATCCTCAGTGAAGGGTGGCCTGGAGAGGGTGGTGCTGATTGGGGCCTAGGGAAGAAGCCTGGGGAGGGAGCCACAGAGCAAAGGTGCTCAGGATGCCAGGCTCTAGGACAGGCCAGGGGTCCTGGAGAGCAGTGGGCTAGAGCAGGCGTCCTCCCACACCTGGAGGTCACCCCGCCCTGTGTGGCCCCAGGACAGCAGGATACGTCTCCCACAGGATGGGGGATGGGGACACCTGGCGCAGCAGGTGGGGAAGGGAAAGCATATGAGCCATAAGGGTGGCTCACAGCCCCCCGCGTCAGCCTATGCAGAGTGCTTAGCCCACGTGGACCTGTGCACAGCCAAGGAGGGCAGCTATGGGACCACTCCCACAATGTTCCACAGATGAAGGGACTGAGAACAGAGAGGTCGGTACGTCATCCACAGCAGGGTGTAGGGATTCGACCCAGGAGCCCACGCTCCTGATCACAGGTCACACTGCCACCCGGAAGAGGGAAATTCCAGTTTTCCTTCTTTGTGAGAAGCTTCAGTGCCACATTGTGGTTGTCACCCCCAGATGGCAGCCCATTCCCGGGGTCTACAGGCCAGGCCTCGCCTCTCCTTCCCACTGACCCACCCCAGGAAGTGTCTACTCCCATCTGAGGATAAGGGATCTGGCCCTGGCCTGCCCTCTTTAGCCATCAGGTGGCTGGGGCAGGTTTAAGAGGTGCTGGGCACTTAGGTGCCCCTAGCTTTAGAACCAATGCCCCAAGATGCTGAAAACAAGACCAAAGACCACAAAGACATGGTCTTCCCTGCCAGCTCCTCTGCCTGCCTGGAAACCAGATGGC